CGGCCGGCACCGCGTGCGTGTGTGTGCGCGCGTGTGGTGGCAGCAAACAGGAGGGGAAAAAGAGTGCGCCGCCCATGGGAAATTGCATGGGGTAGCGAAGCGAAAAAAAGGGGAAAGAAAACATCCCTCAGAGCACAGGAGGGAGAAGGATTGACCCACAGGGACAAACAAGAAAAAGAAAAAAAAAGAACACTTAAATGAAGAGACCCGCATGGGTCGCAGCGCACACCTCTCACCATGCGGAATCACAATTCCACACTCCTTCGCTCAGAAGCCTGCCGCGACGCCACAAAGCGCCATAAGAGTCAGCAGCGTTAGCCGAGACACGCGCCCACGCACAGCGCCGTCGCTCTCTGTGTTCATCGGGAACAGCCCTGTGGTGTTCCTGAAGGTGATGGAGTTGTTGCTTAAGTGCGGTGCTGCGTCGCGTGTTGGCGGGCTGCCTGGCCGCCCACTCGCCGGAGCCGTGGGTGCCGTGGCGGCGTTGCTGGGGGCCTCGTGGCCGCCGTCCGCGCCCGCCGCAGTTTGGGGGTCGGCGCCATTTTCCTTGGCGGCAGCGTTTGGCGTCTCGCTGGTGGGCGCGGCGGAAGCAGACGGCACGCCGCCATCGGCCTCTGGCGCGTGCGACGGAGGGCCCTGCAGCGCCTGGCCGTCAGCCACCGAGGCCGCCGTGGCCGCACCGTCTGCGGGGGTCGAAGGCTCTCGTTGCTGCACGGAAGTCTGCGCACCGACGGCCTGCCCAGTTGCGCCTGGGCGGGAAGCACCGGCCGCAGCTGGTGCTGTCAACGGTGGGGACGCCAATGCACCGCCACTGACTTCTGTCGCTTCCTCATCCCCCTTCCCCTCCTTTTCTTTTTTGTCCTCCGCCTCTTCTGCTTCCTCCTCCACCGCTGCTTCCTCTGCGTCGGAGTTGGGCGTGTTGTTAGAAGGTGGTGACGCGTCGCCTGCCCCTTTGCCCGCCTCCTGCGATAACTGAGGCGGCTCTTCCTCTTCCTCTTCCTCTCCTTCTCCTTCTTCTTCGTGGTGTTGGTCCTCTGGGGGGGCTGAGGGGGGAGCCCCCAGCGGGCTCGGAAGCAACTTCCACTTCGCTGCTCGGCGGCGCAGCTCCCGGGCCCGGCGCTTCCACGACGTTCTCCTGCAGCGCTGGATCCCCAGCAGATTCCGCTTCCGCTTCGTGTGACTGTTCGCCCTCAACTGTCGGGGGTCCGGCCGCATGCGGCGGCCCACCAGCAGAACCGCCATTTTTTTCCTGCAGGCCCTCCGTGCGCTCGCCGTCCTCCGTTTGCCCCTCACCGCGGCCGTCCTCAAGTTTCACTTCGGGAACAGTCTCCCCGCCCTCAGAGGTGGGCACCGAAGGAGCCGCCTGCAGCTCGCGGCCTTCTTTCCCGGCAGCTGGTCCTCCAAGAGCCACTTTGCTCCCTGCGAGCTTTCGGATCTCATTTTCACCCAGTGCGCGGTTGTACAGCAGGACGCTGGAGACCGTCACGTGGTGGCTGGTCCTCGTGCCCTCCGCCCCGTCCCCGCCAACGTAAATGTGCGAGATCCTGTGCGGCGTAAATAGTGTCTCCACCCAAGAAGCGATGCCACCATCGCCATCTTCCTCTTCATCGTCATCGTCGCTCGCGTAGATCTCGTCCCCGTCGATGTGCACAGACAACTCATCGCCAGTATCCATCTGCAAGATCACTTGGTAGGCTGTGTCTGCTTTCCACGTCACATCATCACCATCTGTCAAACTCCGGCTCTTACCGCCGACCGTCACTTTCCACTTATTGTCCTGCGTGCACGACACGCCCAGGAGCACGGTGCCCTCTGTGTCATTCATCCTCACGCCCAGCAGTGGCAGAGAGCTGCCTTCCTCCGCCTCCGGCACCGCGTGGAGCATCACCGTCGCCACAAGCGTGAATCCGTTGTTCGCAAAGTAGTACGGCTGGTTCTGCCCCCTGCTTCCCACGGGCCACTCCGCCCATGAGCCACTGACTGTGAAAGTCACGCCCCACTCCTCGCTTGTCGCCATCCCAC